GGCCGGAGCCCAGACCACCATCTACTTGGCCACGTCCGATGAGGTGGCCAATGTGTCCGGCAAGTACTACATGGACTGCAAGGAGGCCACCCTGAATGCCGCCGCCCTGGACGAGGAGAAGGGTCGCAAGATCTGGGAGGAGTCTGTCAAGATCGTGAAGCTCACGCCCCAGGACCCCAAGATCTAAGCGGATGGATATCCGGAGAAGTGTCTTGGACAGCCACTCTTAGCAATAGATACACTCGCTTATGCGCATTCAACTGATTTGCTTTTCTTGTTATTAAGGGGGAGTTTACTTGTAGCCTAAGTTTTTCATCACAATAAATAAAACTCTATAATAATAATGTTGGTATTTTATTTTAGTGTTTATTGGGATTAAAGGAAATGCTAATATTTATAAATATATATAATATTTATATTTGTTTATTTGATTGATGGGAAAAAGTACATTTACTTTCAAGTTAAAAAGTTATTTGGAAATATTCTAGAAACGGGTTCTTATATATACATATAATATAATGCAATATTTTAATTTCGATTTATTTATTAAATATTTTATTATATAACATCAAAGAGAAACTTTATATATTAGCCAAAATATCTTTTAATATTCTTTCTATTCTTTTAATTAATTCTAACCTTTTAAACTAACTAAGAATGTCTTAAAACCAATACTACGCATATCAGAATGAGATAAATCTATCTACTAGCAATCCAAACTTACTAAATGTGGTTTGCATTACTGGTCCACCCTAAAATATAACAGATACCAGTCGCTGTAAACATGGAACCGCTTACAGATGTCTGTTAATAACTGCGCTGCTTGACCATCCAACATTAAATGCTTAGTCAATGAGTTAATTCTGAATAAAATTTTGTTATTCAGTTAAAAGCAATATCTTTTTCCGGTCAGAACGTTTCAATTTTAACCCATGAGAATTATTGAGAGTGAAAAATCACAGAGCCGCCAAGCAGACAAGGTAACCCGATATACATGGGGAATCCGGCGAAAGCAGGGGAAAAAGCCAAAATATTCTCACACAAAATTTCGCCGAGCTCTCTCACCTGTTGAGTGGCGCAAAAGGGAGGGATGAGGGGCACGCAGGACACCCAGGGGATTCCACGGACAGACATAATCTGATAAAATTGCAGTCGCATCTCCTGCCGGTTTGTCACCACCTCGGTATCCTGCGAGTCCTGGCGATGGAAGAGGGTTGCGGTTGTTCGGTTTTGCGTAGATTATCATCAGCTACTCGGGGCGGGCACGTGACCTGCTACTGGTCGCGGCGATGATGATAGTGCCTATTGGTGGCTAATAATATGTTAACGGGCCTAATTGAAATTTAATATTTATCCAAGGGATTACAGGATAATCATTTGCGGTTCGCGAAAATGCAATTGCAGATAACGGGAGTGTGCGGCACCGCAGATAATTGAAGGACAACGAAAAAAAAGGCCTGTGAGAAACCTATGTTCGCTGTCATCAATTGAATCTTCTCACAGCATTTGTTTGCGGAAGTGATTCGTCAATAAAAAACAAACACCGAGTGCGCCTTCATTGCTGCATTGGTTTGTCTCTGTCAGTCGAGTGCCTGCCCCCAGGACACGGTGGGCAACCCTTCCAGGCTGGCCCTGAACTCTTCTTCCTTGTTTTTCCAAAAGTATCGACTTACAAATTCAATTTGGCGCGCTCCGCTCAAGTGAAGAAGAGACAATGTCGTGGCCAAGTTCGGCTGTAATTCAAGTAGGTTGCTCCTTTCTTGGGGGAGTCCTTTACTGCATTTCAGTTCCTTGAGGAGGATGGACGGAGGGTTTGTAATAAGTCTCGCGCATTTAATAAGCTGGCTTAGGTTTTTAATAAGAAGTGGGTTATGCGACGACTGTCCCGATCCCGATCCCGGCTCGTCCAGCTGTCAAGGATAGCCTGTCCTGTCCGGCAAATGTCAATTGCCAACGGCTGCGCCTGTCACGCGGTCATCGATACTCTCCATCGGACGCTGCAATTGCACTCACAGATGTTTAGGAACTCCTGTTCCAGAACTTTACAATTCCCACTAAGTCATTGCCCATCAAGGAAACCATATATAGCAGCAGCAGTTTTCGATTAAATTGGGAAGGATATATTCGTTACCATTTGATAGACAGCCTTTGTCGAAAAATAAACTAGAAAAGGATAAAGGTTTGTAATACATTTCATTATTTTATATCTAAGCTTGTGAGATTTAACTAATAATAAAAAGTATTTTCTTCTAGCTCTAAAATATATCAATGGCTTAAAAATGTATTTTTTATATGACATTACATGGAGTCTACTTTAAATTCTGTCTCAAATATACAAACCCTTAAGTGCAAAAATCCTTTATGATATAAAATTAAACTAAGCAATGATAAAATCAGATTTAATGATAATTTTGATAGTCTAATTTATATAATTTGTTATTTGATAAAACATTAGAAATTTCCTTTCTGCAAACATTTAAAAACAATAGGAAAACAAAAAGAAAATTAAATTCAAACAAAATTCCTTTACAAACTTTTAAAGTTAAAATGTGAAATAAATAAGTAACTCCAACTCCCACAGACTTCCCCGACTTGGTTTAAGTTATTTTAACCGCCATCTAATATGACCGAATGGCATTAACATGTTGAATGACTCCCGAGTGAGTGGCAGCCAGCATGAAAAAAAGCAAAGCGCAGCCAAAACCCGGGGAAGCCCCATCAATGCCACCCGAAAAGTATTTCATTGATTTTCGAAGCCTCGCCAATACACAAACGGAATACAACAGAACAGCAAAGGCGAAGAAACACACCGAACATATAACGTCAAATGAGAATGAGTGGAAATACGCGTTGCTGGTGGCAACATGGGAGTATCGCAGGGCGGGATTGGCATCGCCAGGATCATGTCCTGCCATTGTTTGTCATGTTAAATACGCAAAACAAACAGAAGCTACCGATGAGCCTCTGAGCAAACAGTTCCACGTGTCTGGAATCAGGCCGAGATGATGAGGTGGATGATGGGCTGGTGCGATAACAGGTCCTCGGAAAAGAGAGAGATGGGGTGCGCTAATATTTATATAGCGGCTCAATTTGTTGCAAAACGCACTGATCCAAGGACTCTTGTGGTCGGTCAGTCGAGGGCGTTTGATCAGCTGACACCTGAACACACCTGAGAGAGCTCTCCTAATTGTTATTGATACCCGGATTGACTTGGCTACCAGCTAGCTAACCTCGAGAGCAGCGGATCCTAATCCGATCTGACAATCGGCAGCAGAACGGCCGAGTGGCTCAGGTCCTTAGCCAAGTTGTTGACATGAAACCGACACCGAGACCGAACCAAAAAAAAATAATAATAAAATAAAAAAAACTGGTTCGGATTCGATCGGACTATAGCTATCGATCTGATTTTAACTCACACGACGCTGGCTGGGGTTGACCTGAAATTCCCATCGTTAAGGTAAGCCGATACAGGAGATATAGCTGGATATCTGGGTATCTGAACATCAGAGTGCGTGTGTGAGCGATCATTGCAAGCCCTTACACTCAACTGGTTTGTTCAATTTGGCCAATACTTTTTTTCTGGCGTGTGAACTTTTTCAGCTTAATGGGAATTTGCTCAGATTTTGGGCCTAAATATATTGCTATACCTCTAGCAGAGGCATTAGCGTTTCATAATTTTCCATCGCCTTTCCATTTGGATTGTCTTTGTTTTCCTGCTATTTCTGCGTCAACCACAAATCGAACTATCAAATAACATTCAAAACTATTTGCAATTGTCGGCCGGCTACAAGAGCATCGATCGATAGACAGTCGTCATTGGCCGAGCTACAAACCAGAATTAGCACCGGCAGATACAGATACATTTACAGTCAACACAGAAGCAGATACACACATGTATCTACCAGATACAAAGATACTTACAAGTTACAGAAGCAGAAGCAAGTCAGGGGGTTGCCGACTCAGCCTGATGGACTGTCGCATTTAACCACAAAAGGAATGGAGCAAAGGAAGCAGAATGCCGTCGAAGACGATCAATGGTTGCCAACCAGTCCGAACCAACTACCCCTGCCCACGCCCCCAGATAGCCCTTACACTGAGCGATAAATGCGATAATGTAGGTATGAAAAATTAAATATAAATAATAAAAGATTGAAATGAGATTGTAAAGCAAAAAATAAATCGATCTGCAGCTTATAGCTTACAGATATTACAGATATCATGGCAACTATTTCTATCCCTTCCTTAATTCAGAAACTGAGAAATGTATGTCACAAGCTAATTGTATCCTCCAGGCAGGCATACCTTTACTTAAACATTATTTATAATATATTTCCCCAGAAAACCCCAGATTTATTAACAGTGTACCCATTTCACACCCCTCTCATTGATATCTGATGTCGAGCTGTAAAGATATTGGGTGACAAATAAAAACTACTGAAAACTGCTGCTGCTGCTGTTGTTGCTGCTGTTGCTGCTGCTGCTGCTCCGATGTTGCCGGCTACGTATGAATGGGCTCGAGACTGGGTCTGGGACTGGGACTGGGCGGGATCGGCTGTCGGAGCGGGGTACTCGGTACTTGAGGGGTAGTGGCCGCAAAAGCCGGTAGACGGAGCGCATTGGTTGGCCGACAACGATGACGGCAACGTTGTTGTGGTGGTGGATCTGGATGTGGAGTGGGTATGACTGTGGGACAGTGCACGGATGGCCTGGTAGGGCAGGGCATTCTATAGCCCCGGAGAGGGGTGCTCTGGGCAAGGGTCTTGCATGTGTAGTGCCGGGTACTTGTGTCATTATATCTGGGCACTGGGTGTGAGTGCGAGTGAGATTGTTGCCTCTGCTGCGTTGTCTTTTGCGCCCTTTTGTCGCTTGTTTATAATTAAGTGAGTATTTTTTTTTTTGTTGCGCCCTGCTTCTTCCTCTGTGGTTGTCGCTTTGCTGCCGCTCTGCCGATATGTCAGTCGATATTGGGACGAGGTGCCTCGAGCTGGAACTGACAATTAGTCGCCGTCTTATGCTCGTCGCCAAAAGTCGCTTCTTGTCCCGCACTCAGATCGAAAACTCAAAGTTTGCACAACGGTTCCAAATCCAAATCAATATCCAAACGGGAAGCAGCGATCGTGCTACATATTAAATCTTTAAAGAAAAAGTTTAAAAACAACAAAATATTGAAAAACCAGTGAAGTTTCTTGTTTATTGGTGTTCTTCAGATCATGAAATCCGTGAATTTATCTACAAGGTGCTACAAACTAAGTTATACATCAATTCTGGAATATCACAAATATACTGGATATATAATTAATTTATATTAAAAAATTCAAATAATATTTTTATTATAAATTTAGCGATAAGTGGTTCATTTTTTAGGATACTATAGCCTATGTTCTAAATACTTTAATTGTCTTTAAAACTCCTCACTTTTAAAGACTCTCTGTTTTCTTAATTTTTCTTTGCTATTTAATTTGTTTAATATTTTTAATATACAACAAAATATATAAATTTATTTTGAAAAAATAGTTTTTTAAATGGAAATTGATCTTAGATTAAAAAAAAGTAATGTTCTCAATAGATTTCATTCTTAATTTAAAATAAGAGTCTAACATTATTTAGATCTTTAAAACTTTTAGCAATTCTGAAATTCATCATTCCTAATCGTGTCGCTTTCTTATCAGAATAGAGGAAATTTAACATGGAAAAGTACTATTAAAATATTATTTATAAAAGAGTGGAAACAAGAAAATTAATTAGTTTATTGGCCGATTTACAAATGTATAGAAACGTAGATCGTTAGATAAGTAGTCGAATAATAAGTAAGGATTTTTATTATGATGATTATTAGGAAATATGTTAAATTCTAATGCCATTGAATATTACCACTGATGTCAACCTAACTTTTGTAACATTTATGTTACTGATTAATAATTAAATAATTTATTTGAAATACGAAATTAGTTTATCATAGTCAAAACAAGTTAGTCTGATTAGTTTCAATAAATTTTTTTTAACATACAGCAATATTATTAACTCATTTGTGAATAAAACACTTTAGTAAAATATTTTAAAATGAGTAAATTATATCATTTTTATATATTTCTATTTACAATATAATTGCAACTTTTCCATTTATAGCATAGGGCCACATCTTAAAGTTAACTCTATTTATAAATGTTAAATGAATAATAAATATCTAGAATTAATATATCTACATATATTATAAAGTACATGAATTTCTCTTTAACATTTGGTAAAAAAAAAATTTAAGTTAACGATTAAAGTCCGTTTAAATATGTTTTCAAATCAGTTTGTAACCCGATGCCCTATATTTTATGGGGCAAAGTGCAAAATAATTGTGCAATTGAAACCCTTCGGTGCATTGATTAAATAATAAACAAACAAAAAACTACTCAATGAGCAAAAAGGTAACCTGAAAATAATGTTCTCTCGCCTTGCAGTTGGAAACTGACGCATCAAGATGAAGCGTAGAAAAAGCAGAAATAAAGACCCGAACGCTGAGTCCACACGTTCCAGAACTGGAGTCATGTCATGGGATTGTTATATAAGGGTTCCAAACTCCTGAACATAATTCTGGGTGAGTTAACAGCACACATAGAAGCAGCAAAACACAGATACAAAATCGCCGCGACTTGAGAGAGAGCAAAGCAAATGGCGGTCTCTCCGTATGTATCGAGGGGCGGAGCTAACCGCACAGTGGTTGTATCCGCACGCGAAATGTATCCGTGGGATACGTGCTGATGGCGAGCATCTCTGTTCAGTTTGCAGTCGTTAAAACGTTGTTTTTCGTTGCCATTCTTTTTGGCTGCGCAGATTCCCTGGAAGACCAAGAGGGTGGAGCTATGTACATATCGTGCGATGTCTCAAACGGCGGTCCTGTGGAACCAGAGACGGGCTATGTGCCCAACAATCCCCTGTTCGGCTTGGCGCTGGACAGCCCCCAGGTGAGTCCAGGAATCCTTGTCAAAGGGCTTTCAATCTCTCCGGAAAACGGGTCGCGTTCGGTTGTGCTAGTTGCACAAAGTTAAATCATCATTTATCGGTATTTTTCATAATTTTATTTTCACATAATAAGATAAATTTAGTCAGATATTCAAAGCTTTTAAAATGCCCTGTCAATATCTGTGTTCTATGACTTTTAAAATTAGTTTAAAAATATTGTCTCTTACTTTAAAGCTTTTAAATATTGTAATTTCATATTCTTTATCAACTAATTATTACTATTTAATAAGAAGTTAGTTCGAATAACTAAAGTCATCTGAATTTTCTTAATCCTCCGTTTAAAACTAAGTTATGGTGGCTTAAATATTCGTAAACTAAAGATTTTATAACATCTAAAATTTAATTTAACTGATTTTTTAAAATATAAATGAGTTTCCATTATAAAATGTGAATTTTACCAAGACTCCGAGGGAGAATATTCTACTTTAATGCCGCTTTAGTTAACCGAATCTCTTTATTCTCCCATTTCCGTTTCCGGTTGTGCAGCAAGAGTGCGCCGCTTCCTGCGTCGGCTGCTTATCCTGCCAGGGCAATACCGCTCTGCCCATCTCTTCGCTCACCAGCAGCGACTTCGACTGCGGCGGCTGCTTCGATCCCACAATTGGAGTGGGCGTTGGCGTGGAAGTGGGCGTGGGTATCGGAGGCGGCCACATCCAGATTAACACCACACCGCCGGCTAGCAGCGGCAACGGGAGTACCAACAACGGCGGAGGATCATCGGGTAATCCCAGCTACTGGAGCACCGACGAGATGGCCTCCACGTTTCCCGGCCTCCCGCCTCTGGACATTGATCCGCTGCCCAGTCTATTCCCATTCTCGCCGTGCGGCGCCTCCTATAATTTCGCCGCCGGAAATCCGCATCAGGCTTCGCTGTCGTACACTGTGCATCCCCACCAGATGCTCATATCGCCCAATTCCCACAATCACGGCCAGATGCACTCACAGCACCAGCAACTTCAGCAGCAATCCCAAGCCCAGGCATCGCACGGTGGCAACTCGCTCCTCCAAGGCGCCAGCGGTAACAACGTCAGCAGCAATGGAGCTTCCAGCGGAGGAGGCAATGCAGCTGCCTGTTACTACGAGACCGCTGGGGGTGTTCCACCTCCTCCGCCACCGACGGCGGCCATGTATCCCAGCATGAGTGTAAACGTCAGCATGAACATGACTATGCATCACGGCTACGGAGCATCCGATGGCAGCGGTGTGCCGATGCAGTGCTCCCAGATGAACTGGACTCCGCCCAGCAACTCCTCCACCGCAGCAGCAGCGGCAGTGAATGTCCTGTACCCGCCACTCCTGAGTCCGGGTCACTATCCCACCTCAGCCACATACTCCTTTACGGCGGATTTCCGAGCACAAGCTCCGTCGGGCCTGGGTTCCCTGGCTCCGCTCACCGTGGGCGAGAAGGAGTCACCGTCGCCGCCAGCCAGCTCCGCCCTGGGCGGATACTACCCAACAGGAGTGGGCAACCAGGGATACACGCCGCCCCACAAGAGTCCCACCAGCTACCAGGCAGCCGCTCTTGGCCTGAGTCTATCCGCCTTCGAGGACGAGGAGGATAGTAACGAGGATCCCGACGGAGACGAGGGCAGCAGTGGTGGGGAGATGAAACCGAACCTGTGCCGGCTCTGCGGCAAGACCTACGCCCGTCCCAGCACGCTCAAGACCCACCTGCGGACGCACTCCGGCGAGCGGCCGTACCGCTGCCCCGACTGCAACAAGAGCTTCTCGCAGGCCGCCAACCTGACGGCCCATGTACGCACACACACCGGCCAGAAGCCGTTCCGCTGCCCCATCTGCGACAGGCGCTTCTCGCAGAGCTCCAGCGTCACCACGCACATGCGGACCCACTCCGGCGAGCGTCCGTACCGCTGCTCCTCCTGCAAGAAGTCCTTCTCGGACAGCAGCACCCTTACCAAGCACCTGCGCATCCACAGCGGCGAGAAGCCGTACCAGTGCAAGCTCTGCCTGCTCAGGTGAGTCCTTCGCAGAAACAAAGCTCTCTTTAAGACGAATTTTTCAAACTCAATTACTTAATCAAACAATGAGCAGTAGTAGGACAATATAATTGGTTATCCAGACAAGCGATATATAAATTCTTGAACCCATTTTTAAAGCAATTTAATATTAGCTGAAATATTTATTATGAAAATAGATATTGGGAACCCCTTTAGGAGAAACTGATACAAATACAAATAATTAATTAATTCAAAGCCCTTAAAAGCTTCATTTCTGTATAGAAAAATTAAACAACCAATGAAAATTGTACTGTAATTATTTGCTTTCCATCCACCATAGATTCTCTCAATCGGGAAACTTGAATCGGCACATGCGCGTCCATGGAAATAATAACAACAATGGCAGTAGTGGAAGCAATGGTGGAACTGGAGCTGGAGCAGGAGCTGCCGGAGCCGGTGGTGGGGGCAACAGCCTCCTTACATGACAAAAGCCACGCAGTGCAGGCGGTTTCCAGCATTACCACCCCCCGCACACACACCCACACGGCCATCCCCATGTGCACCACCAGCATCACCACCACCACGCCGCCCACATGGGCAACTATGACTACGGGAATTACAGCATCGGCGATTACACTCCACCCGGAGCCACACAAAACTATTCAGGGTATTATTTCTGCGCACTCAATAAGCCGCCCAAGTTCGAGCGATTCTACTAGGAGGCCTTGAATCTGAGGGATCCACAAGAGAATAATGAATAATTTATTAATATATAGGTAGTATCTACCAGGTACTAGCTCTGAGGTAATCCAATTGAAGAAAATAAGGCTTAACTGAAGCTGAAGTTTACAAAAAGTGACGAAAGTAAAGGCATGGTATTCCAACTAGATAATCCCATGTTACACATCAATATGAATTGCTATAAAACAAATATTTGGGTTCCTTTAAAATGCTTAAATATATACTTATACAGGGGTGCCAAAGAATTTGCTATGGGTTAAAATTCAATTAAAAGTGTAAAAAATTGTGCAGCTTATGAATTCCAGAGAACTTGTTCAAACGATTTCCAAGCAATTAAGAAATCTGCGGCACACTCCGATAACGTTTCCCTAGGTCCCAAAATGCAGATGAAAATGCTCAAATTGAAATTTCAGTTAAATCGTGGAGAAGCGAACAACTGTACTAGGCCTTAGGGCAACATTGTAAATATAAATAATGTATTTATTACATTTCGCTAGAATAATAATAATTATTGTGTCCAAGTTAGTGTATTCATGATATAATAATGTAGTTGAAAAAAACACGCATAAATCTATTCCAAATTAGCCAACGAAATAGGAATTAAGTACGGACAGGAGTATGAGTCATGAGACGACCAACCACACAGCAGCACCCAAAACATATATAAAACACATAATGAAATATAAATAATTCTAGTTTGTAGGCCTAAATGTAAGACAGGTGCTTTGATTTAAGCCAATTTTGCGTATACCGAAATAAAATCAAATATAACATTTTAAAGAATGTCAAGAATCTATTTAGATCCATAATGTTTTGTGAGTTTATGGGAGAGATGCAATAGAGATATCTGTGGATTTTGAAATATTTAAAAAGCTAAAGAAAGGTAGGTGATAAGAAAGGTTAAACCCTGAAAGAAATATATTCGAATGTATAATTTAATACACCATTATGACCTACCTCACTCATATTTCAGACATAGTAAAGTAAAAACGAATCAAAACAAATCAAATATATAACTTACGGCCAGCTCTAATATATTGTAGGAAAATAATTTACACAGCTTATTTCTTTCAGGCAATGTTATCGATGATGTAAACGGCTTCAGTATCTCCACCGCAAACCAGACGGCTTCCGTGCACATCAAAGGAATTCATAGCCTTGCGAGTGCCGGTGATGACGCCGTCCACATTGATTAATGCCCGAACCCGATCACCGCTCAACCAGGGGCTGTTTCCATCTTTTCGGCTAGCATCGCCTCCGTAACCTCTGTTTTCAGACCACATCCACACCTCTCCAGTTTCCGAAGCAGTAAATAGCTTAGTGGTATCCTGGCGATGAAAGCCAATTTCATTGATGGGACTGTCGTGGGCACTGATATAGGAGGCTGGGTATTCAAGGTTTCGCAAGTCCCACACTGTAATGGTACCCTCTTCACTGCCGCACAGCAGTATGTGCTTCTGACTGGGATGTGTGGTGAGCGATGACACAAAGTTCGAGGACTTGTCATCTCGGCAGGGCAGCATGATGCCGATTTTGGGTTGCGCCTCTGTGGCTACACGGGCATCCAGCATTCGTAGTACTCCCATGCGGTTAGCGGCCACCAGCTCCTGCTGGCTAACGTAACACAACGAAAACAATGCCATGCTGTCCGCCTCTATGGTGCGCTTCACCAGACGAATATTTTCAGATGAGACAATGTTTACGCATCCATCCTCGCCTGAGGTAGCGATGTCAGTGCCGTAGACGGCAAGGTCAGTGCAGGGAGCTGGCTCCTGGCTGCGCTGGAAGCAGTGTAGCTCGCCACTTCGAGCTACGCGCTGCACCTGATCTTCTTCAACCGCTCGCTGCACGTTCATCAAACTGAGATGACCTAGGATTAAATATATTGTTACTTTCCGAGACAATCTGAGGGAAGGCAATCTTAAAAACATACCATCTGCACAGCTCACAGCCAGCGTGGAGTTGTCCACGAACTCCATGGCGGTAACATCATCCTCCATCTGCACCTTGTCCATGCAGCGCGGTATCTGGTCAACATCATCAGTGCCCGTGGCGCTGATATGCTGGTTCGACTGTAGTTTCCAAACCCGGACGAAGTTCCTGTCCATGTCCCAGCTGCCGGTCACGAACCGCTCGCTCTGGTGCAGCGCTTCCGGCAGCCAGCGCACGCGGGCCACCTTCTCGGATATATAGTGTGTGGATACCACTGCCGAGGACATTATAATAGAGTATTATGTGATTCAACAGTATAAACCATACACAAACTAAATCAAAATCAAAAGCCTCTTTTAATAAATGTGTTTGCCGGCTTTTAGCGGATTTTCCTCTCCTTTGCTGTTGGTCACACATAAATGGTTCACGAGCACCTCATGGTGCTGCCAGACCGTCGAAAAGCTGTGTTGCGGCGGGCAGAAATACTATAATTGCTGCCGAAAATCTTTGGAAAGCCTTTTAAAAAGACTTTAAAAGGCTAATGAACGCTTTCAAAGGCGTATTCAATCGGTAAAGTACTTCAGCTTAAATATTTGCGATATAAGAGCTAGCGGGAAAATAGCTAAATGTATTTGCTATATTTTCAAAAGCAAAGTTCGGTATTTTTTGTCTACAGCCACTCCATGTTTTTGGCGGGAATCATTAATAAACAAACCAACGAAGAAAAACATACAGAGAACTTCGCTTATGGATAAATACTTAATTAAAATGCCAATTAAATCCAAGACCAATGAAATGCCGGAAAAGGTAATTAAACCAAACAATCCAACAAGGTGTGAAATATAATTTCATTTTATTACGCAGGCGAAGGCGGTTGCAAAAAAGGAGACACCCAAAACCTCGATCAAACAAACCAAGACGGAAACGCCGAAAGCGGCACAGTTGAAGGACAAGGAAAATGCAGAAGAGGATACTCCGAAGCAGAGCAAAAAGAGAGGGAGGCCGGCGGCGGTCAAGCGAAAGAATCTCGATACTCCGGAAATGGTAAGAAAATTACTTTATTTTCTATCTGAAACATAGACAGCAATAACAGTATGTATAATTAGAAAGAGGAGAAGAATGCGGCGGACAGTGAGAATCCTCCCAAGCGTCGAAGCTCCAGGACCACCAGAAGCACCCGTTCCATGGCTGAGGACGGTCCTCCAACCCCGGAAAAAGAAGAACCTGTAAAGCTGCCTTTTATCAAGTACAAGGGAGAGATCAAGTACTACACGGAAAACCAGGATATAGCCGCATCTGCGGACGATGTGATGTACGTTTTTTAGTAAACTCAACATATAATTTTTAGAAAAACAATTAAAACCTAACCAATTTCTCTCTAAACCCTTAGGCAATGGGTAGAGAAGCAAAAGGAGGATGTGGTTCCCATGGCCTTTGACATGGAGTGGCCCTTCTCCTTCCAAACCGGACCCGGCAAGTCCTCTGTCATCCAAATCTGTGTGGATGAAAAATGCTGCTACGTGTACCAGTTGAGCAACCTGAAGAAGTTGCCTGCGGCCCTGGTGGCCCTTATTAATCATCCCAAGGTTCGCTTGCACGGTGTCAACATTAAAGCGTGAGTACATTATTTTAATTTAATTTGCTAAGTCTGTAAAGTTTGGCTAATTTTCAGGGATTTCCGTAAATTGGCCCGCGATTTTCCGGAGGTTTCCGCTGAACCGTTGATCGAGAAATGCGTTGATTTGGGCGTGTGGTGCAATGAGATCTGTGAGACTGGTGGACGATGGAGTCTGGAGCGCTTAGCAAATTTCATAGCCAAGAAGGCCATGGACAAGAGCAAGAAAGTCAGGATGAGCAAGTGGCATGTCATTCCGCTGGACGAGAACCAGCTTATGTACGCCGCTATCGATGTTTATGTATGTAAAAATCTTGCATTTGCGAAACAAATTATTTAGAATACTATTTGTTTCAGATTGGACAGGTTATCTATCGAGATCTGGAGAAGCGGGAGAAAGTGAAGCTCGAGAATGAGGAGGAGTTCAAGGAGCAGAATGGTGATGCTGCCTTCAAAGCAGTCAAAGCCTTGGGCGAAACCTTTTTAAGCAAGATCAACGAGGTGACTCTATAAGAATAAGACTTCTTTTAAAATTTCTTTACACAGTTTTTTTTAAATTTTATTACTTCCTTGCTCAATTATTGATGGTTTAATTATTCAAAAACCCTCTTCTTTTAAATAATTTTTGCAATTTTACACTCTCACCTCTTAGCAGGAATTTTTGTTGTTCACGCCAAAACATGAACTTTACCACTAGTTATTTATGTAAAAGGTTTTTATATTTCTCACTCTTGGATGAAGATTTTTTGTTGTTGTCTTAATTCTATTAATATTTTACAACTGGCTTAAGAATTCTATATGCCCATTATTTTGATAAATTTATACAGTTTCATTTACATTTCTCAACTTGCAATTAATTTTAATATTGTAAATTCGCATTAAACATATATAATGAACACAGTTGGAGGCGTCACTTAAACTGCGGGCGCCTGGTGCCAATGGCCTCCAGCTTCCGCTTGAGCACGTCGTTATCCAGATCGATCTGACGCTGGTACTTCTTTCGGTTCACAGCAGCGCTGGTGAGACGAGGCGGTGGCGGGGGCTGACGCTGCCGAAGGGATATAAATAATCCTGCGCGGACATTTTCTTTGGCCATAACTTACCTCGGGGGCACTCGCATTTAACTTCATGGAGCTAGTACTCGCCTTAATAGTGGCCGTGGGCTTCACAGTCATCATTTTTCGGAGTAGGATTTGGTTCTGCCGCTCGATCTCACGAACCTGAACATTTGTAAAGGTGAAGCTCTTGCGGCCCAAGTTTTTGTAACTGCCACAGATGAATATATATATAATCTAAGTTCAGATCTGTATATAGGAATAGGGAAATGCTTACTTAACCTTCTCGTTGGAGCAGCGGGAACGTGACACGTCGATGGGATACTGGCGTCCGTCACTTGTCAAGCTGCTCGGAGTGCTACTGGCTACGCGCCTGTTGAACTCCGACGGCCTGACCTGTGGCGGATGCCGCATCAGCCCATCCCCCTGCCCACATTCATCCATGAGATAGCCATGCTTCATTCCCATACCGAGTTGCATGTCAGGATCCAGTAGTTCTTCGCCCATTCCCATGCCTTGGCTCATTTGCTGTTCCTGCTCCCGGAGTTCAGATTCCGATGGGCATCTGCACTTTGGCCTGGGTATTTTGGACGATCGTGTTGTGATTAGTGCCTCCTGAGAGCGCTGATAGCGCATTCTTATGGGGGACTCTTCGCCGCCACAGCTGCGAGCACTAGTCGGTACGGATCCCGTCATTGATGTAACCTCGGACTCGCTCATCTCCTCGCGAATCCGGCAATTTTGCTGCATTAACTCCGTGGCCCTGGCCAGCTGCTCAAACGCCTGGCTATTGGTGGTTCCGCCATTGATCCGGAATGTATTCATGATCATCTCCGACATCTGGGTCATCTGCTTTTCAAGATACCTTACGGTAGCTTCATCCGGCTCTTGGGCAACGTCGGATTCGCTACTGTCTATGAAGTTATCCAGGCACTTTAGGGGATCCCCAACGGGCTCCTTTTTATTCTCCTCTTTCTCAATCTTGGATTCCATCACTGTAACTGGCTCAGTCTGGCTGCAAGTCTTCGGTGGCTGCACAGTAAAATAAAGTTAGTCTTCTGTGGTGATGACACTCATCTTTTTTCCCGGCTCACCTGCTTTTGTAATCTTGGAGAAGCATCCACCAGGGTGGCCTCTGTTTCTGCACCGGCCATGCCAATGGTGGTCACACTATACTCGCTGCTGTTATCACTGGCATCCACCAGTGAAACGAGATCCTCCTGCGGCACCGGCGCTTTCTCCTTTGGAACAGGAAAGACTGGCTCGTCCTCCTCGAGTTGTTCTACTTCGATATCAGTGGCTTCATCCTCGTCGCTCTCCTCGTCGGACTGGCGACCATGATTCGATGCCATCGTTCCATCACTCTGGGCTCCGTCATCGTCCTCCTCAAGTTCTTCCTCCTCTTCGAATTCGTCAACCTCTTCGACCTCTTCGACTTCATCGACCTCATCGTCGTCGTCGTCATCCTCAGTCTGTGCATGGGCACTGCCCGGCATGAGAGTACGCACCGAGGGCGCCTCATCATCTACGAGCGTGTCCAAACACAGACTGAGCTGATTGACTTCGGCCACAGTCTTGGTGATGACCACCTGGCTCTCCTCATCATCCGAAGAGCTCGGGTAGGCCATCATACGATCACGGTTGAAGCCACCGGTCGAGCGGCCGGTCACCATTTGCTGGCGCCGGGCGTGCGGCTGTGGGCGCGGTGCGGATGGTGTATTAAAGCTGAACTGGGATATGGTCAGCTCCTGGCGAGGAGGACTTACGTTGCCACGCAGGAATTCGGCCTCCACATCGCTCTCACTCTGCGTGTCGCTCTCCTCGACCAGTACGACATTTGCGTCCTGCTCATCCGCCTCAAACTCCTCCTCTTCCACGTCCTCATCTTCTACTTCCTCCTCTTGCTCTTGCTCTTCAACCTCCGACTGCGAGTCCTCCTCGAAGGACTCATCTACATAATACTCCTCATCAGAGTTCTCATTCTCTGCGGTTCCCGACATACTGTAATCGAATCGGTATACGTTGAAGCGCCTTTATTTTTGGGGTGTACTGTGATGCTTGTGGAAAATATCGTTTTAGAACTTTTTTGTGTGTGTCTTGATGTAGTTTTTATCGAGAACTGCCCCGAAATCACTTGAAGTTAGACTATGAATTTTGACGCAAGCCTGAGAGTTGTGGCTAAGTTGTAATGGTTTGCTGGGTTCGATTTCCGACTGGATTGATCCGCTGCCTTGATTGACACATGACCCCCATCCCATCCCGAGTTGGGGCAGGTGCTCATCCTACTCCTCCTCCTTCAGCTTGGGAAAACTTGGCACATTCCACGTTTCTTGTTACTTTGACTCCATGGGCTGCCTTGCGGTGGCGCTGCCAACCGACGACTGTTTCGTTCGGTCACTGGAGCCCAGGTGAGCGGACACCACCTGCCGCTTGCCGCATGACACCCGTAGCCCACAACCCACCACCCAGTATCCAGTAACCAGCACCCAGCGCACCTGACACCTGGGTATTTATTTATCGCTGCCATCGGTTGCCATGGACAACGGAGCAGGCGCAGGCGGTTTGTTGGTTGCCTGAGGAGCAAAAGCCGGCATTTCCGGGGTCAGCATTTAAAAACAGTCCGCGCATTTTATTTAAGGGGTAAACCAACAGAAATATCACCTAAATATTGCAGCAGACACTTAATTCTTTGGAATCTTATGAATTTCACTACGTACTGAAAAGCAAATCGTGTTTTCGTGTTTGACGCCATTTGAATCCTGGGCAGTAAGCATAAAGGTAGTCAGATAACGCCCACTTCTCAATGGCATATCAAGGCCAAGGACGACGTTGCAGTAAAATGGTTCAAATATTATTTGTGTCTGAAAAGAATACATTACAATACACTTAATTACTAAAGAATATACCTCTACTATACGTACTCCGGGATTGTTTAAACATTTATCCTTCACATCCTTGACATTTGTGACGTGGACTAACCAGTATTTATACCAGTATTGCTCCTCATCGTATAGCACATTGCACACGTTCTTCACATGTATATTTAGTAGAGTCGGTATCCAAGACCCACGGTCAAAATATGATATGGACATATCCCCCTAATATTCGTGAATTATGTGTGTTTTAAGTTTGCTTCTTTAAGCTAGCCGTAATTACCAAAATGACATCTTCAGGCGGTACATCCCACACGGTTGTTAGATTTCCTTCAATGTATATTCCATTCTCATCCATAGTGAAATTCATCCGAGAGAAGTCAAAGAGACCGCTTGCATTCCGAGATCCTGGCGGTGCATTTATGCAGTCCGTAAATACTTGCTCATCCTCCAGGACAAATTCGTGTAAAATTTGCAATGAACTACTGCAATAGCAAATGAGGATCAGAAGTCTTCCTTTAACTGAATGCTTCCGGTCCATTTTGGTCTATAATCACCGAGTGAATTAACAAATAATAATCAGAGAATATATATACCAGTAATCTTTCACGCGCCCCAAATTTAATTGCATATAATTTTATCAATATACATGTTATTCTTGTTATTCATGCTTATCAAAATTGAATTGGCAATAACTAGAGCTCTGAAAAAAAACGTATTAATTTTAAATAGCTGAAATAATACCCTCAACCCTCTATTTTTGCTTTATCTAAAATTATAATATAACGATTTAAAACGGGATAATTATAGTTATTAAACAAACCGATCTGTTTATGTTTAACTATATAGCGTGAATGCTGCAAATTTCTGGGTGTTAAGAAGCGAGTAATATGTCATTAATGGTAAAAGCAAAATATATTTGATAACCAAACAAACCAGACTTTAGTGAAATGCTTAACATAAAATAGGTTTTATTATTGTTTTTGAATTTCCGGTAATCCCCCTTGAAAGCTCCTTCACCACGTCTATGTGCGGTGGAGCTTGCGCTCTTGGCTTCTCTCCCGCAATCTGACAGTTGAATGAAAGGCCGCCTGGCAGCTTCAAATTGTAAATATTGCGAGCGGGGATCGTTCTCCAATGCACTCCGGAGTCATGTGTCCGGTGAATGCGCAAGGGCGTAGAGAGCAATTTCAAATCCTACGGAAAACCCTCTCGAGTCCCCTTTGCCGCTGCTTCTTGCTCTCTCTATTTCTCCGAGCAGTAGCGGCTGGTGTTGGCCAGCGGGCATTTCATTTGGCCAAGAAGCTTCGTGGCGTGCGAGCGTGTTGCTGTGCCGGAAAATGCGCGCGTAAATCGCTAAGAGTGTGTGTGAGAAAATTGTGGCCGCAACGGGAAAATTGGCTGAGCAAATAAACAAATGCGGTGCGTGCCATGTGCTTGTGTTTGTGGAGTGCGTGAATGAAGTGCCACGGAGTAGCAGCGGAAATCGTTTGCTGGCCCATCGACTGGTCAGCCAGTGCGGGTAATTATGCTGCCAAATGCTCCATTTTGGCCAGCTGTGAGAACACTGGGCGTATACGCAATCTCTACCAGTTTCCTAGACTCTGCACCAAGTCTTGTGAACGCATCTGAAATACGCGGCGTATACGCATTTTGTGCCCCATTCCAAACAACAAAAGGAAGCATGCGGCGTATACGCAATCTTTGCCCCCATATTGTTGTTAAATCAATAGGAAATATTTTTATTCGGGGGGTGTCGCTCTTTATTTTTGTTGTTTTATTTATTATTATTCTTTTTTTTTGTTTGTCGTTTGCATGCGTTAATGTCCTTTTGCAACCGTCGGCTAAGTAATTGCAAATTGCGTGCCGCAAGTTTACAAGTTATTTCGTTTCCGTTTCCCTCCTTCTCCCTCTCAGTCTCTTAGTCTCTCTCTCTCTCTCACGTTTACCCTCTCGCCCTGTTTTGGCTGCAGCAATTTGGCTAAGAGCTTGGGGTAGCCGGGTGCCGGGCGGTGTCGGTGTCGGTGGCGATGGCGGCTAGGTGGGTCAAAAGGCGCAGCCACACGACACCAGCAAACAGCCGCAGCCACAGCCACAGCCACAGCCACCAACGTACAACCTGAAACCTCCAACCTACAACCTCGAACATCCACGCTCAGAGCTCACGGCTCACAGCTCAGAGATCCGAACCACAGTCAATGCGGCTAGACCAAGACCAAGAGCTCCGACGGCAGCAGGAAGTCTTGACTTGGTCTGAGTTCACAGGAGAGTCATCCGTCAAGACAGGGAATACCCTGCACAATAGCAAAGTATGCAAATAAATGGTTCGCTTCTAAATTATTGAACTATTAATGATTTTAAATATTGTTCCCTATAAGGAACTGACTCTGTGTCCCTATTTATGGCGTGTTTAAATTTTATTTATTAAAAAACCACCTTGTTGCTCTTAAATCATGCTTGCGGTTAGCACTCATGTGTTCAGTGAAATGGAAATGCGATAAAATTGGTTCAGTCTTTCTTATTTAATACAAAAAAATATTTTATTTATGACCCCAGAGACCTTTAACTAGAACAGATAATTATTTATTTGAAACACATAAAATGGGATAGAAACATAATTTATTCCCTGTTCTTTACTATTTACCAAGCTTAAGGATATTTACACGACTATTTTAATGCTGAAATCTGGAGTATAGTAAATATTAAGATGACCAATATTGTAATCCATAAGAAATCGTTCGATTTGAAAGCAAATTCATAGACTATGGTTATTTAAGGATCAAAGTTACCCTTAAAGGGTATGCAGAACTTCGCTTTTGACAACTTGGGCTTAACCTTTCTTCGTGGGCGCTTTCTTTTTTTCACCCGCTTATCGATTTTCGACGCCTGACTGACGTCGGGTCTTGGGCCAAAACTCGAGTTGTGGGCCCTGAGCCGTGAGCCGGCTAATAATGCTCAGTAGGTCAGCGCCGCGGCAGTTTGAAGTGCGTTAGAAGCAACAGTGGCCAACGGCGTAAACTGAAACGAAACCGAAAACTGGCACAGGCTCAGTGAAAGAGAGATGGCCATAGGCCCCAGCATAGGAGACGTTGGGAGTCCCAGTGCGACAGAGTGAAAGAGAGGGGGATAGGGAGAGAAAGAGAGAAGGAAAACGAACCGCTGACTCTACTTGAGGCGTACAAAAATAGCAGCCAACATGCACACACACACACACACACACACAAACGCAGTGGCAACTTCAAACGCGCTTGGCCTACTTTCCCGGGTAATGGGCCTGGGACGTCAACTGCTCCTGCTCCTGGTTCTGGTTCTGGTTCTGGTCCTCCTTCCCTTTCATCATCCACTCCACATAACATTTTTCAGCACTCCCGTCGGACCGCAACCAAGTTAAATGAAGCACACTTACTGACATACAGTGGGAAAAATAAATAGAACATTAGTCAGACTTCCAAGTTGACACTTGATTTTATAATTTATTTTGTTCTTAGTAATCCTGACTGCAAAGCCAAGGTCTATTTCTAAAAGATATTTACAAGGTAGATCTTTAATTCTTACAAGAAATTAAATCTGAAACCCTCTGATAATAGTATAAATGTTTATTTAAAACCTATTTATATTCTTTGCTTATTATGTTATTTAATCTTTTGTGTAATGTTTTCTTTCTCTGTACTCTGTCAAAGCGGCTGCTTGTTCGTAAACAAAATGTCCAGAGTCTAGGCAAAGAGCGAAATGTTGTGGCCAGCGCAATGCACAGGCACAGGACGAAAAGCAGGAACCAGCACAAGCAACGTTAATCATACGCACCGTGTGCCAGATCCTTGTCCTGCGAATGCAAAGTCAATCAGCGTTTAATTGACAGCTGCAGTCACAGCCAGATACGTCGTACAAAGGGCCAAAATATCGTATGGCCCAGCAAGGGGGCACAAGAACAGGCACTCCACAAACACAACAATTAAAAGGACAACCCACTGAACAGGATTTGGTTTCGGTTACGGTTTTTGGGTACTGCTGCAGCAGCACGAGGAGGTCATTAGTGGGGCTTTTTTTTGAGTTTTCAGTTCCAGTTTCCCAGAAGGAGGATGTAAGCCTCAAACCTCCAACTTAAGTCCCCGTAGGAAGTATATTTTAATTAATGAGTTCAAATGAATGTTGGTAATTCAATTGCGTTTAAAGAAGAGGCATATTTTTTAGGAAAAATATGTATTTGTGCTTGCATAAGGTCAAAGTTTATGTTTTTATATAACATATTTATATAACATATTATAATTATGATTTTCTCTCACAAAAAAAGGTGAAAAAACTAGGAAATTCTTAACTTTTAAAGAAGTTGTATACTTTCACTGGAAGTGCCTTGATTTCCCATTTATATAAAAACCTAATTGGCCTTCCCAGACTTCGTTCATCAACTTTATTGATGAGAGGTTATATAAAATCAACGTTTTTGCTGTCCGCTGCACAATTAGCTGTATTAGCTGTGTCCAACAAGACTTGACTTTGAGAGGGAAGAAGGAGCAAGGAAAGCAGGAAAGGACCCCATACTCCATACATATATATGTACCCCCATTATTAGCCATATGGCTTGTCAGTGATTGGTGGCAGTTGCGGCTGCTGCTCGAAACTTATCGCTCGATTGCAGATTGTTTCTTGGCTGCCAAGACGGCGCCTCTGAGTATGCAGCACTAAGCAGTCTTACGTCCTGTGTCCTTCGTCCTTCGAGCCTCCTACGTGGCATGGCATTTTCCAATTAGAGCTGCCCGGGGGTAGGGAGCTGGGTGGAGGAGACTGGTGCCAAACATGCGTGGCACGTGAGCGGCAAGGTAAAAACTTCCCCGTTGCCCAAGTGCGTGTGTGTGCATGTAAATTACAAAATCGTGCAAAAAAGGTGCCATTAATAAGGCAGAAAGAGCAAAAAGAGAAAAAAACGGGGTACGTTGGGTACGTTACACCGAAACACTGATGTCGAGTTATGCATACCCTAGGCAGTCCTGATCAAAAATTAATGTCAGCTTACTAAGCAGATGGGTCAAGTATATAGGATTTTTCAAATAAAAAAGGGGGTGAATTGGAATAGATAAATATCGCTTTAAATTTTTCCATAGAGTTAAATATAATTTATTCAAAACCCTTTGTATTGTATATTAAATATTAAAATCGAACCTCTGTTTAATAGATTCGAAATATTTATCATCCTGGGGAAAATTTATATATATTTTTGCGACACCCTCCCCTTTTAGTATTTAAACTCTTCATACTTCTTCTTGAACCTTATTTAACAGTGAGTGGAATTATTAAAGCCACCTTTCAATTAATACCTTAGCTGATATGCATACATATGTGAATCATGTGCCGTGACTAAGGGTATTCGCAGCAGAAGGGCGAATGTTATGCCTGGCGGGGCAGCAATTTAAATTCCCGCTTCACGCCCGTGTCACGCCTACTCCTGCACAAACCTCATTGTCCCCAGTCCCCGCATTGCGTATACGCACCGTGTACGCTATCCAACTCTCCATACATTGCGTATACGCCGCGTATTCCCCCTTACAACCCACATTATCACACACACATCCATACTGATGGGCGTGCGTGTGCTGCATAATTACAGGTGCGCTGTGCTGTTGCGGTCGTGGATGATGTGGCTGGCGCTGTCGGTGCCAGGAGCGCAGTTGCCGGGCCATAATTGTCGGTTGAATGACTCTCGATGCGATAGCAATAATAACAAGCAAATCGTCAGCAACGGCAATCATAATATTCATCAATGTCACACCTGACGGCGGAGCATAAGCAGCATCGAAATACAAATACAAAACCCCAAATTGCCGACAGCACCACCGCACAGTTTTTGGACATTGCGAAATGTTAGCAGGAGCCGCGACACAAACAATCGACACAACACAACGACGAGCGTCGACGACATCTGGTAAAATTACAAGAAAGGAAGCTGCAGGCATCCGGATCAGCAGCAGCAGCTGGGAAAGATGGTTTTAAGCACCGAATGGTCACAGGTGGAGGTTATCGATCTGATCAACGATGGCAACGGTCTCGGCTTCATCCTTGTGGGCGGGCGCAGCACTGGGGTGGTGATCAAGGCCCTGACGCCGGGGGGTGTGGCCGAGCGAGATGGACGTCTACAATTGGGCGATCACCTGCTGCAAATCGGCGAGGTCAATCTGCGGGGCTTCAGCTCGGAGCAGGTCGCCACAGTTCTTCGTCAGACCGGAGCTCAGGTGCGTCTGATTGTGGCGCGGCCGGTGGAGCCGACGGCCATCGATTACCAAACGCTGGCCTGTCAGGCGCCGATTATACCAACTAAGCTCCTCTCCGACCCGGAAGAACTGTCGCGTCATCTCTTCCAGAATCCGAGCTTTGCCACCGCCGCTGCGGCAGCAGCAGCAGCCGCCGCAGCAGCAGCAGCATCTAGCGGTGGTGATGGCAGCGGCGGAGGCGGCGTCTGTGTCGGTGGCATGGACGTGGCCAGTTTGGTGGGTCTGGTGCGCGGCGGTCCCGTCGAGGGTTCCGAGATGTCCGCCATGGAAGCGCCTGCGGCACAGCTGCAGCTCACGGAACTCGGCGATTTGGCCGACTTCCCACTGCCACCGATTCCGGGCGGCAATCCTAACGGTGCGGAATCCAATACTGGCCAGCGACCGTGCCCGCGACTGGATCTGGATATAGTGCCCTTCTCGATACTATCGCCGCCGCCACGCCCCGCCCTGCAGATGCTGCCCCTGGAGACCCAATGGCGGTCCGTTCAGGAACAGCATCAGCACATAGAGACTGTGATAGCCGGCAGCAAACGCAAGCTGTTGGCCAATGAAGATGGCGGTTGCGGCTCCGGCTCGGGTTCGGGATCGGGCTCCGGTTCCGGCTCACCCGACTCCTACATGGACTCACCGGAAACGGAAACCTATGTGGTGGAGCTGCACAAGAACGTCTATGGCCTGGGCATAACCGTAGCCGGTTACGTTTGCGAGGAGGAGGATCTCTCTGGGATATTCGTGAAGAGCATCATCGAGGGTAGTGCGGCGGAGACGAGCGGTCAGATTCAGATCAACGACCGCATTGTGGCCGTAGATGGAAGGTCCCTGTCGGGGGTGACCAACCACCAGGCGGTGGAGCTGCTCCGGAACACAGACATCGAGGTTCACCTGACATTGGAGCGGTTTCTGCGGGGCAGAAAGTTCGAACATCTGCAAGTGGCTCTCACGGAGATCAAAGGCAGTGCTGGACCATCCGGTTTGGACAGGAATCAGGAGAAGGACCAGGACCAGGAGTCACAGCTCTCCATGCCGGGGTCACCCTCGATAGCCACGCTCAGCTGGCTGCCACCCAAGTCACTGGATGCCGATTCCATAGCCACTGAAGGCGACGAGGCCGAGGCGGAGGATGTGGGCGTTTCGGGAGCAGGCGAGGAATTCGTGGAACTTCCCTCGCGGGACACCGTGGAGTCGAACATGTCGCACGTGCTGGACCGCAGCGATCACAGTGGCGGGGTGACAAAACTGGCCACGTCCAGTCCGGTGGCGCCGTTAAGCAATGGCAGGAGCCCGAACCTGGCCGATGACAGTGGCAACGACACCGATGAGCAGTGTCCAGAGCCGGAAACCGAGACGCAAACGCAGACGGAGACTGGAACGGGAAAGGGTGTGGCAAAGGCCAGAAAGGGGTCCAGAGCCGAGTCGAGTAAGGTTAAGGAACCCGATGATCCCGGCGCAGATCCCGATCTCGATCCCGATCCCGGCCAGATGACCACGCCCACGAACGAGGCACCTGCCAAGGTGGCCAGCCCGACCGCCGCCTCCCTGCGCGTGGCCTGGAAAAGTGAGTTTCCCGACAGTGAAATTTTAGTTGCCGAAATAAATAAACTTTCAGGTCTAGGGATCAGCCTCGAAGGCACCGTGGATGTGGAGTGCGGCATTGAGAAGCGTCCGCATCACTATATACGCTCCATACTCGCCGACGGCCCAGTTGGCCGCCAGGGCATCCTGCGGCCGGGCGATGAGCTCCTGCAGGTGAACGAGCATAAGCTCCAGGGCCTGCGCCACATCGATGTGGTGAAAATCCTCAAAGAGCTGCCGGCCCGCGTTAAGTTGGTGTGTGCCCGGGGCACTCGTGTTCCGTCGGTGATAAATACCTCGCAAAACCCGGAGGCCTTCGAGACGCGCAGCCTTCTGCCCGGTGGTCACCAGAGCCTCCAGAATCTGCTGAGCAAGGCGCAGTCGGAGAGTTCGCTGTACACGTCCAGCACGGCGACTTTGACGGATGCAGGCGGTGGCGGAGCCGGTGGATCGGGAGGAAATGGAGCTGCAGGAGCGCGCTCCAAGTCGCTGGAGAACGTGTCCGGCCTCGCCCTGTGGAGCTGTGAAGTGACCGCCGTGGATATTGAGAAGACGGAGCACGGTTTCGGCTTCTCCATTCTGGATTACCAGGATCCCTTAGACTCTGAGGGCAGTGTGATCGTGATTCGTGGCCTGATACGCGGTGGTGCTGCCGAGGCAACCAACGAGATATATCCAGGTGACCGCCTCATGAGCGTCGGTGATCGTTTGCTGCAAGGCCTGGAGCTGGACGAGGCGGTGGCCATATTGAAGTCCATGCCGCCGGGACTCACTCGCCTGGGCATCTGTCGGCCCCTCTCCGCTTCGGATAGCAATAGCAATAGTAATATAGCCTCGCCGCTCGGTGACTCGGCCAGTACATAGTGACAGCCCATCCCCGACGGCCTACAGGAGTCGGAGATCAAACCGGAAACGGAAGTGGAAGCTGAACCGAATGCAGAGCCGGAGGAGGAACAGGAGCTGTTCTCATTGTGTGAGTAGTTTTTTCTATATATTTATATATTTAATTAAATCGTTTAGTTGCTTAGAAATAACATTTGAAAAAGTTTAAATTCACATTTATAATCTCTTCAATGATATCTTAATTTATTACTTAACTTCTGAGCTTAAATATTTACATCCCCGAAAAAAAAAGAAACCTTGAAAAGTTTTCGCATTCACTTATTCCCATTTTGGCTCATTTAAATCAAATCAATTGAAGTTTCTCTCACAGAAAGTAACAAAAGCATTCAATTATATACTTTTCGGCAACTTTTTGATTGATTGTCGGCCCAGCTGCTGCCTTGCCAGACTCAATATGAATGCGAATCATCATTGAGTCAGTTGGTGGGATTTGTGAGTTGTTATTAAATTGTCACCTGTCACACCTGCCGCCAATTTCCCTTTAAGATTTTGCCTTCACCTTTTTTTTTGCCCCCTGTTAATCAAGTGAAAGGTGAGCTCTGTGCGTTGCCAGGGCTACCTTTTTGGGGACTGGACAAATGTTGCCACATCAGTGAGCCGCTTCAGGCCCATTTCCTGGCGCCATTTGGGGTTAGCTTGTGTACATATATATACATATATATTTGAGATTTCGTTTTTAATTGTTGCCCCTGGTAACGCCCAAAAGTCACTTTAAAAAGGTTACGCCCTTGGCTTGGGTTTTCGAATCAGAAAATAAATGTGAGCATGGCCATTGTCGAATTGATGACCGCTTGACATCCTTTTGAAGTAGTTCATTGCTCATACGCCCCGTGTGGCAAGCACAATACCCCGTTGTCTGGGTTCGTGTACTCGTTCTATAAATGTTCTATATATTTTGTATGCGTATAGGTTTAGGGTTGACCGCAGTCTTTTCGTGTGGCTAACTTGCTGTCAACCCTCAGGCTTTTATATGTGCCACTTGTTGTTTTACCCTATAATTTAATTACATTTTCGGTATGAGAAGTTATTTTAAGCGTGCCATCGATTAGCCACATTTTAAGCTAACGCTTTAAATTTAAACGGGTATAAACCTTAGGTTTGCCATTTTACTTTAATAAATAACTTGTACTATGACTTGTGTCTTCTCCAGCTCAGACCCACTTTTCTTCTGCTTAATTCATTAAAATTTTAAATTAAACACAAATGAAATTGTGTGGTGTTTGGCACATGCTAATAACTTGTAATAACCAACACCTAAAACACAGAAAGTTCGGGGGAAAAGTGTTTGTATGGAAACAACCCGAGGGGGCAAGAGCGAGGATGAGCATCTTGCCCACCCATTAACCAGAAACCAAGTTCTGTCCGGATATTGGGGACCTTCTTGATGCCTAAATTATTCATGCGTAGATATAAATACAAAACTTTGACAAAAGCTGGTACTGGAGGGCCAAGGATAAACTGCAAATTACCACTAATCTCCTGGGGGGTACCAGGCCCCCCAAATGTTTGTCATGTTAGCCTCATAAATAGTAATTTTCTTAATTGACTCTCGCCATTCGCATTCATAATTTACAATTTTCCCGGCTGGCTAGCTGCCTGACTAGCTGCCTTTTGTTTAAAAAATCATTATTTAGCAATTGTTTTAGCCAGCATAAATTATAAGGGCCAAGTAGGTCGATGATTTATGCATGCCGCGATAGCGAAAAGTTCCTTGCCTCAAAACTAGTCGCCAGCTGGATGTTGGAAGGCGGTGCAAGGTGGGAGGTGTGGCAGGTGTACTATGTAGGTGTACTAGGTCGTAGTCTGGGAAGCGAGCAGCTGGCGGCGGAATAATAAAAGCTCGGCCAGCAATTATAAAAATGTTTGGTTCATGTGCAAAAGCCGACGGGGAAATTCTTTCAATATATATATATGGTATGTATGACCATATTCACCGCACAAAGTTATGTTCTTGTATATATTTATGCTTGGCTACACTGAAACAAAATAATTTTAAATTATGCGAAAAGAAGAGGTTACTTATTTAATAGTAAAAGATTTGTTCAAAGAGAAAGTATATATTAGATACAATTTAAGAAGCTGTAAGAAGGATAGCCAATGGTTACTGAAGTATTTATATATCTGATATATTTGTTAAATACAAATATAATTAAGTACCTTATATATATACCTTTGATAAATACAAATATAATTAAATCCCTTATAGACATTATACACTTTTTCCTCCTGTGCTCGCGCTCATATTTGTGTAGATAGTCGTTTGTTGCTGTTTGCCCGTTTAATTAATTGGCTATTAAAAGTGTTGAAAATTGAAAAACAAAATTTAATGCCACTGCAGCAGCAATAACAGCATAAAAATAGCCTTCCCTGACCTCACCGGATCTCAGGTCCGTGTGTGTGTGTATTTACCTGTGTGTAAATAAAACAAAATTGCTGCACAAGCAAATTGATCGAATTAAATGAGTAATAAGAAATTGCGTGTAAACGCTGCAATTAAAACACTATACACATGTCCGACCTGTCGACCTTTAAAACCCTACATTAAGTATGTTAGTTTATATTTCATACCAAACTGTTAAAAAAAGAAGAGCGAAAGTACATTTCGCTGAGTCAATACCAGGGGGCAATAATTCTCCCACAATAAGCGAATTAAATGCTGCACAGAAAAACCACGTAGAGTATACACACACAGAGATTCATGGTGTGTGGATATGTTTACCCATGGCGGTCAAAATATTTACGCAAACGAAATATAATAAGCATAACAAACAACATTTTATAATGGATATAAAAAACTTAGTGTTGCTCATTATTACCTGTCTATACACACAGCCCTTTATGGTATTTAATCTTTGCTGCTATTTATGCTGAAAATGGCGAGTAAGTGTTGGGAATTATAAATTCCTAGAACTAACAAGAAGGGAATCTCACTTTGGGAAGACGAAGTTTTCATACCCTTGCCGTTAGATATTAAATCCAGAAATTGGAATTTAAAATCTTCCATAACTAAGGGAAAAATGCATTAAATTTAAATCAGATTACTTTTCAGAGCTGGGTTTTATTTGGTTAAGAATTTGGCATATTGAAATACAATTTTTCCTCCACGGCGTTGCAAGCGTTTAACTAAAATTATAATACCCTGAAAGGGTATAAAAAGCATTGAAAAATTTGTTAAATTCCTAAGAAACATTTGAAATTTATAGAACAGTTTTTTACTCACAATATGGATAAACTAATCATTTATTTAATTGTATTATAATCAGAAATATAGCTAATTGTAAGCAATACCACAATTGAAAATGAAATAAAGTTTTCCTGGTATACATTGCAATAAATCTGCAGTCTAAAAAAACTCGTTGAATCACTTGAACTTTGTTAAATTTAAATACACATAAACTGATTATAAAGCTTAATAAACTCATTTAACTTTCTGCTGCGTAGCATTCATTGCTCTTCCTGTAGCTTTTAATGCCGTCATACATGGCGTATACGCAACGAGATGCTGTCATGGAAATGGGAAATTCTCGTGAAAAGTCTCCCCCTTTAATAACATTTTAATTAACCCAACACGCGTCATGGGCCAGAATTTCGCAAATCACAAATTGTTTACTGTTGGCAGCTTAGCAGGGGACTGCAGCAGGAGCTTGATTCGCAGGCGTTGCATTTTAAATCAAATTAATGTAAACAATGGCTGGGATGTCAGGTGGTTGGACAGTCTGCCAGTTTGGCTGCTCCACCGATAATAATAATAATAATAATAATAATGGGGCCAAGCCGAACGGACTGACAGGCGGATTGTTTGTGGCGCTCCAATTTTACAAATGTAAATATGGAATGGCAACAACATAATGCCACAGTCGAACATGTGGAGGCGATTAATGCCAAAGTTTCAGCCTTAATCGCTGGGCATTTGCATTTTCCATATTCGCTTTTAATTTGCTGATTGCGATGCCATGAAAAGTCATTTTCCAAGACATTTCCCAAAGAATTTTTAATGCATTAAATTGTTTTATTAAAAGCGAAGAGATTTTTCGAGTTATTCAAGCAAACTCGAGGATTATTGAATGAAAACCCTTTTAAAATAAATACAAATAAAAAGTTAAAGTGTTTTAATATTATGATTGTTGGATAAAGGGAAAGAAAATCTTATTATTTTACAATAAAAGTATCCCTTTTCTGCTGCTCTCTCATCTCATTTCTTGGGACATTAATATGTAATCTAAATGAAACCTAGAGAAACCCAGAGAGAATATGTTGCATTTCCTGCATTTAGCATTTTTTTCATTAAAATGGCTCAGGACCTGATTGCAAGTGGGTCCTTCGGGGATATTTGTGCATGTGCTAGTACAACAGACTGCAAAAATAATTACGGCAGAACAAAAAACTCATTAAAACGCACTGCACACACACCGCAAACATCGCCATCAGCGAGTGTGTGTGTGGGAGGGTGGGTGAGCTTTCTAAATTTCCTACACCAAGCCACTCCACCCTCAGTCATTTCCGCTTCCTTCGCCCAGGAGTGTCGGCCATGCAGGGAAATCTATCAACGTCTGTGCCTGGAAGGCTTCTCCCGCCATTTCTGCTGGAATGCTTTCTTATGTGCACTGGGAAAAAATACACCTTTTAAATAGAAAAATCTAAATAGAATATAAATTATCCAGTTTAACAAGATTAATATATCACTAAACACAATTTCCCTCTAATTGATGTCTGGTATACCTGGAATAATATGATTTTTTTCGCCGTGTACTCGTATGTAAGCACGTAAAGCGAAGCCCGGCACAAAAAACATTTATTTAATGCAACAATTGTGTAGATGAGGCAGCTGCCGGATCCAGAGGGGGGAATGAGCTGGGGGAAACAATAATGGGGCGAGAGCATAATACAGATAGCAGCAAGGAAGCCAGGACGCACACTTCTCCTTTGGTCCTTTGTAATTTTCTGTGCATGAACTTAAGCGTACGTACTGCAGCAAAAACAAAAACAAGAAAAAGCATATACAACAACAAGGGAAACAACAAGTCGATGGCTTTATCTCGGTATATCGACAACACGCTCATCATCATACTT